AGGGCACCACGGGCCTGTCAGGGGCACCTCAGGCTTGTCAGGGCCCAGGGACACCACAGTCCTTCCAAGGGCACCGCAAGCCTGTCAGGGGCACCAGAGGCCTGCCAGGGGCACCACAGGCCTAGCAAGGGCACCACTGGCCTGTCAGGGGCACCTCAGGCTTGTCAGGGCCCAGGGGCACCACAGTCCTTCCAGGGGCATTACAAGCCTGTCAGGGGCACCAGAGGCCTAGCAAGGGCACCACAGGCCTGCCATGGACACCACAGGCCTGCCAGGGGCACCACCGGCCTTGCAGGGGCGCCTCAGGCCTGTCAGGGGCAACACGTGCCTGCCGGGGACACTTCAGGCTTGTCAGGGGCGTTACAGTCCTGTCAGGGCCCAGGGGCACCAGGCCCGTGGTGTCCCTGCTAGGCCGGTGGTGCCCCTGGCGGTCCTGTGGTGCCCCTGTCAGGACTGTGATACCCCTGATAGGCCGGTGGTGCCCCTGGCAGGTCTTTGGGCCCCGGGGCCTCAAGTGGGGGGGGGCCATGACCCATGTGACCCCCCCCCCTTGGATCCGCCACTGCTTCTAGAAGACGGCAGGCTGCATCAAACGGGCAAAATTGGGTGTCAAACGAAAGAAGAGCATCTGAGGATTCCGAAACTGTGCTAAAAATCAAAGGTCAAGGTCAAGGTCACGCTCAAAATTGACCTCAAACTTGGCACTTTTTCGCACATCTTGCGTGCTAACTTCCAAGATGTTTTGAAATGTTTTGAGGCTTATCAGTTCCCTATTTGTGGTTCATTTTACGATACAAGGCTGATCAAAGGTCAAGGTCACAGAAGAGTATCCTTGCTAGAGGCTATTTCACTAATTCAAGTTAGTTATAATAAATAAGACAATTTTGCCATCCGGAAGCTCTAAATGAAGGCTGAGAGGAAAATAGATGCCAGATTCGTGATCAGCGGATACAAATCCATCATAAACGACCTTTCATGTGTCAAGGTCAACCAGAGGTCATTCGAGGTCACATGAGGTCAACATAAAATTTGACCTTTTCCGAACAAAATATATATCATTCGACGCGGCTTGACAAGGCGAATGCGATGGTACCACTGCCGTAGCTCTAGGACCATTTTTGTCGAAGTTATTTGCGAAAAACTAAAACCACATTTCGGGGTCGTTGACCTGACCTCTGCCCTCAGGTCACCAAAACTATTTTTCTATTTTTCTCTAGGTCAAACGCTACACAACCGTGCTCGTAATTTGTCTTTATCTCTAAAACTCTTTTTTTAGCAGCTATTTGAAGTTTGCGTCTGTGACGCCGAAGTTTGCCGTGCAGGGGTCTAAGAAAATGGACCTTGTGACGTCATCAAGGGGGCTAGGTCCAAATTTTTTACTTCAGAAGATGTCAAGTTGATGGGAGAAAAGGCACTGAAAGTTTCGCTTTCCTATCCCTAAGCGTTCGGGAGCTATCGCAAATATTCGCCAGGGGGGGGGGCGAAAAACGCCCCCCCCCCGGGCCCGCGAGGGCTAATGAAGCTACCCTGCAAAAATTACCGCAAGCAAATCGGTCAATTGGTAAGCTTCGTAAAAGCGTGACCACGGCCGGTCGCTCATTCCCAGAAATTTCCGTTAAACTACGAGAGACTAGCTCGCTTCGCTCGCTCCGTGAATATTCCATCTGTGAATTGTATTTCAACCGTGCTAGTGATGCATTTTTCTCTTCTTCGTTTACAGTGCGCCAGTTAACATTTCACCTTTGACAAGTCCAGCCTACCAATGTGATGTCGTGAAACATATCACATGTCATATCAAAGGTCGGAGGGGCACCGAGCAGATGCAAGCCAAACAGGCAAACGATGAGTGTGCCGCCTGGGGATCGTTACAGTTTGCAGCGGCCCGTTTGCTTATTGTGATTTTTGCCTGCCTTGTGTGCCGCCTCGCCATAACTAGCGCATATCAAATACTATATGATATGGGGCGGACATCGATCCTAGCAATCACGCGAGGGATGTAACGAATGTAACGATGAAATAAGGGCCGCAGTAATCACTGCCATTTGGCAGCCAGAAATGGTCATTGTGGCTCTAATTATCAGCGGTCCTTTGAAGAGAATTGGGGCGTTCGTAACCAGAAATTGGTCATTTTTTGGTGTGTAGCATTATCATGGGGGCTGGCTCATTATAGCTCTACAATTAGCATGAGAAGTCGACACAGGATTTCTCTCTGAACTAGTATATAGGCTCGGCACATTGTGTCTTCAAGGCAAATATCTGCCCAACTGTGTCGCGCTCGAGGCAAAGTGCCTACATTACATAAGTTTTGTAGTTTTGCCTTTAACGTGCAAGCTAACCCCAAATCACGAATCACGCCCGGCAAACATGCCACGAAACACGGCCACAACTTCCTCACGAGTCGGGGGCGGCCCGAGTGCATTTTTCATGGTGCCCTGTTGCCCTCCGTGATCTCGCGCCACCCCCGCTAGCGGTGTTGCGATACGCGGCCAATTTAATGAGTTAATTGGCGGCCGTCGGTCACCTGACGCCTCGGGCCTCGGGCGACCTGCTGCCCTCAGTCGCTCAATAATGTAGCGTCGATAGCCGCTATCAGTCGACGGCGGAGACAGAGCAGCTGGTTTGGCCCTCGCCGCCCGCACACGACAGCCCGGTGTCAGCAGAGGCCCGACGAGGGGCCGACGGGCGCGCCGACAGCGGCTCGAGGACCTGAGGCTCCGGCGAGACCGACCGACCGGCCAGCCGCCTGAGGCGGTCAACTCACTGTCAGCTGAGCCCCGGAGCAGAGGGGAGGGGAAGAGGCAGGGAGGGGAAGGTTCCGGCGAGAGCAGAGGGGAACAGGCAGAGAGGGTCCGTTCCGGCGCCGATCATCACCCAGACCGGTGCGTGCGAAGGTCCGTTTGAGCAGTGCGCCGTTTTTGACTCGGCTCTGCAGCCGCATCGTTTGCCGACGGTAATGAGTCGGCGTTGGACCGACCCCCCGCCCATTACCGGACGGGCGGGCCGTTTTGATTCATGGACGGGCCGTGGTGGGAACGGGAGCTCCACGGCAGTGTCTGCTAGGAAAAGGTCCGCAATGATCGCCAGAAACGCATGTCTGTGGAAGTAGCTCCTCCCAGTGATGGGAACGGAACTCCTGCATGGGTGGGGTGGGCTGAGCTTCCGACACGGACAATTTGAAAATTGCGGGGATGAACTGCATTGACAGCTAGATCTTTATGCAGCTATATATTTGACAGCTAGATGAAAGATTGCTAAGTGGGCGCTTGATGGGTCAAATTAATCAGCTTTACCGTTGCAAGTCCAGATAAACGTATTTTTATATGCAACATAGCCACCCTGGTGGACGTCTATTTTCAAATGTCAGCTACCACCTACCGGTACTTAGTTTGTCCCTTACAAGCTATTAGCTTTTTTACAGAAGGCCAGTAGCAATGACGGATGATTTTACACAACCGGTTTATAGGAGACAGGCTTGTCAATAACGTTAACAGTAACATTTAGCCTTTATATAGAACAAATCATAATCATTAATGAATAATTTCTCATTTCTATCTTCACGTAAACCTGACCAAAATGTCATTCAATAACCAGGTAGGCTGCAGAACACTGGAATAGCAAATATTAAAAGAAAGCATCAGCTTTTTTCTGATCTGTGGGCATTTAAACGTATATCGAGAGGTTCTCAACGAAATTTTAGAACTAAGAGTCCATCGAAACTCAACGCACTGAGTCATTACTAACGCCATATTATAGCAATGTCCTGCAGTGAATGTTTAGCTCATATATGAATACTTTGCTTAGATAACTCTCAACGATGACATCAGCTGATAATCCATGATGCTTTTATCTCTTATGGTTACGGACATTTTACATGATGTATGTAGTTGTAAGCCAACAAGAAAACATTGAAATATTTACACATAAAACACATTGTAAAATATCTGTTAAAAACGTTGAGCAGGCTTTCGATAAATCATTTATTAATAGGTAGCTTAATCAAAGTGTTCAAACAACGATAATTTCTTAGATAGGTACCTACTGAATAGTCTGTTTTTTTTTTTAACTATCAGCAGACTAGAAAATGTTGCACACATCCTCACGAATACTCGTATACCAACCATGGTCAATGCACATGCTTCTTATGGCACTTCTAAAACGGGTACTGGACGACGGCTCACATTCCATCTTTTTTTTTTTAATTCATCACCATCTAAACACAACAGGTAAACTGTTTTAGAGTTGGCATCAGTTTTTTTAGTGATTGAAACAATCAACTGCTTGAAACATTTAATTTAAAAAAAAACATTTGGTGTAGTGTTGATAATACACTCAAAACCGAAAGGGAATATTTTCTGGCTCAGTGATGACAACAAACCCATCTTTCTAATTAGAAAGCGAGTAAAAAGCTGATATAATTCGCCCAAAGTTGGTCACATTCCATTTCAGAGCCTTTGCGTGCGGTCCAACCCAAGCCTGATGAGTAGCCAGTCTCGATTCCGTGTGAAGTGTAAATTTAATTGCGTTCTAATGACGGTTTACCCCAAACTTTGCCCCTGCCTGTTACCACGAATCTCGGCAAACACGATAGGTCGATTTTTCTATCGGAAGATCCAATGCGAGATTCTATCGCGTCCGTCACCATTCGGCGTGAGGCACGCGCGGCTCGACTTTGTCCCCGTGCGTGTTACCCTCGGGCCGGCTGGGGCGGCGGATGGTCGCGCGGGCGGCGGCAGGTGGCCGCGGTCCGGGCCGCCGCCAGGATGCGGGTTTATTAGAGAGGGTTCATCAATTCGTAATGAGCTGTCGCCGGCGACGACTGCGATTGGCCAGTGGTGCGGTGGCGGCCAATGAGGGACCGGAGGCAAAAAATGGAGCCGGCAGATGGGCTGTGAGGTCGGCGCCTCGAGCGGGGTCAGATCACAACCGGTTTGTTCGCGACCCCGGACCGCCTCAGGGCATACACGGAGCTCACGATCCCGACATGACCAAGCAGCCACAGCAGGCGCCGTGTCGGGCGGCCTGTATGTTCGCCGGGGGTCTCGGCACCAGCGACACCACCTGTGTCGGCTCTGGTGCCGGTGTTGGTGCCGGCAGTGTCCCTGGTCCAGTTCGGGAGAACCCATCGTCCTCCAGCTGCTGGGGTGGTGCCGGCGGCGCGGACGGTGTCGCCCTTCCCGTCGAGCCGCCCGTCCGAGAGAGGAAGCTTCTGAGGACGTGTCGTCGCCGAGTGGGAGGACCCGTCTCCAAACACACCGGGCAGAAGGAGAAGCCGGTTCATCTGGTTCAGAGGAGGAACGCGCGCGAGCGGCGCCGCGTGCAGGCGGTCAACGTGGCCTTCAGCAGACTGAGCAAGGTGGTGCCCCTGGAGACGAGGTAAGCTTGACAGCCCAGCCGGTATGGGCGAGCTCTGCACTTTGTGATAGATGGGAAGGATCGCATTCGGTTAGCTAGCATAACATGCCCCACTCAGCCCCAGTCAAAGCTGCCGAGAGGTTGGCAACTTGGCAGAACCAATACGGGCGTGGGTGCATGTTATTGTATGTACGCATACTAGCGATTATATCTCTCATTAAAGCGTCATCTCAAAGTCTCAACTAATCAATCCTTTTCGTCGGTAAAACAAAACTTCGGACTTCGGAGCTGACCATTCCTTTGACAGATCAGTGAAGTAGGCTCCACTCCATGTGTCCCGGTTTCGGGGCATAGGTACAACATTTGTGTCAATTTACAATTTGTGTTCCCTAGAAACATGCAAATTTCGAAAAAGTGAGCCAAGGTCAACAAAGGTCAACGACCTGAACTAACCTTCACGGGACCTTGACACCCACCATAATGCAGGGGATCAACATCATTTCATATGTTTGAACGTTTAAAATTACAAAAAGACTAGAAAGTCGCGCATAATGTGAGCCGACATATGTACGCCGAATCGCAGTTCCGAGCAAACATAGTCTCGAGAAACAGGTCACAGGTCAAATGTCCTTATGGTCAGGGTCATGAAATTTTCAGGGTAGGTGTAAAATTAATAAACGCGAGAGTGCTAAAAGTTTCGTCGTGATTGGTCGCTTTTTGCCCGAGTTGTTTGCGAAAAACTGAGGGGTGGAGTCCATTCGACCCCTCCTATAATAGTTATAAGTGCGAGGGTCAATCGAAAGCAATGTATGATAATTAGACAAATCAGGCATTTAAGCGGCTGTGCAACAAAAACTGATAGGTGCTAAGAACTTATTAATAAAAACAATTAGCCTAATTTGGCCAAATCTGCACCAATTCTGCACCAAATGTGAACCAAATGTGCAAGTACCTGATAGCCGCTGTGAAAACGGCTATATAATACAAGGCTCGGTTACTAAGAAACATCAGTACTTAACCCGCGCCCTGGTGGGGTCTGTTTATAACGCGACCTGGTGGGGGGGGGGGCTATTTTTTGCCCCCCCCCCCTCGTATCTCTGAAACTACTGGACGGATCCGCAAAATTCAAACGGCGTTCGAAAGGCCTGTCAAATTTGTCGCGGGAAATCAAATTTCATTGACCTCGGGGTCACCGATGACGTCACAGGTCAGGTCAAAGATGAAATGTTTCACCGTTCACGGGTCTTCTAGGGAATGCGCTATAACACCGAGGAAAACGCATTTTGTCGAGAATCAGCGATAGGGCGTCAGTTACCTAGTAGATATGTTGCTATTAGAGGTCACTGACAATACCAGGTCACGTCACAGGTCAGGTCACCAAGGGTCACAGGTCAGGTCACATGAGCCCAACTTCACTAAGGTTGTGTGATGCATGTTTTATGACCAATTTTTCATTTCCAATTCAATGGTGTTGGTTATTACGGAGCGAGCGAAGCGAGCGTAGTCTTTCCTTAGATTAACGGAAATTTCTGAGTATGAGCGGCCGGCCGGCCGGCCGGCCGGCCGTGGTCACGCTTTTGCGAGGCTTATATCTCAGCAACCACTTGACCGATTTACATGCGGTAATTTTTGTAGGGTAGCTCCATTCCTTCTACCAAGTATTGCACTATTCCCGATGCATGTGGGTGACCCCTTATGCACGTGCCACGTACAAAACGAAGAGGTGTCACTTTTGTAATTGTTGCAATATCTCGGTAACTACTGGGCCGATTGCGCTGAAAGTTGGCATGTAGGTAGGCACCCACTAGGCAATGCATATCCATGTGCCAGAGTTGGGGTGCTGCTGCACGTGCGCACGTGCAGGGGTCGTTTCCAGATCTCGAGAACGGCTGGACCGATTGCGCTCAAATTTGGTACACGGTTACGGAGCAGTTAGTAGGGTGCCGTGCACAAGTCAGTTGGGACCCATTTTGCACGTGCGCACGTGCAGGGTGCCGCTTCCAGATCTCGAGAACGGCTGGGCCGATTGTGCCCAAATTTGGCACGTCGCTAGAGATCGGTTAGTAGGGTGCCGTGCACAAGTCAGTTGGAGGTACCCCCTCGCAATTTCGCACGTGCAAGGCCCACCCTCTCGCTCGCTCCGTTAGTCGCCGCAAAAGGCGTTATACTGGTAAGTAATAAGACTATCAGGTACGGTTTAATTCACTTTCTGGTGAAGTTCAGGTCAAGGTCAGGTCAAGGTCAGGCCAAAAAAGGTCAAACTTTAAAGTTGATAGTTTTGCATAAAATGGGTACTGATTCGATGCAGCTCGTCACGGGGAGTCTAATGGTGGTTTTTGTTTTGCGCTACGGGGTCTAGAATTGCCAAAAATTGAGTTTGAAAATTTGACGTCATCAATTTTGAACAGTTTTTTCGCTATAACTTCGCCAAAAAAGGGGTATCAATCTCAAATTTAGTATGTGGATGGAAGGCGGTGAGGAATATCACATATATTCCGGTTTTTGCGAAATTCAAAAAACTTTTTGGATTTTTCGATCATTATATCCAAAAAAATTATTTTTTGATTTTTGGGGGTCAAAACCCAAAAATTTCAAAAATCCGAGATAGCAGTTTTGTAGCCCTGTCAATTCTACAGCTTTTATGTCCTTATCATTTTTCTTTATTTGCAAAGCTATAGGCCTGACAGCTCTTCCCGCGAAACCCTTTTTTGGGTCGAAAACGGCAGAACATGACGTCACTCTGACGTCATTTCCGGCCAACCTATCATAGCCTTTGGAAAACTTTTTGGTCACCATATGTAAAATTGATGTCCGGGAGGGTACTGAAAGTTTGGTGACGATCGGCGCAGCGGTTCTGGAGATATATTGAAAAGTTTGGAGGGGGGGGGCAAAAAATAGCCCCCCCCCCCACCAGGTCGCAGGTTAACTTGTAGGTATATTACCTACATTATACGTGACATGCTTTACTCGATGTTTGTGCTTACCTTTACAGAAGTGGCGTAGGTCGTCAGCATCTCAGCACCTTCAGCAATTCAAACGCAGGCCATGCCTCGCCCTCATCACACTTGCCTTATGTTTTCATCTGAAATATCCTTGCGGAAGGTAGTTCAAAGCGCAAGTGCATTAAACCAACCAAAGATTCAATTCTTGACTCGTTTCACTGCACGGTGTAACAAATCTTGAACGAAACAAGATCTTCACTCCGAACCGTCACGCATCACTGGGCACGGCCCGGGGACACTGAGTTACCGGAGTCTCATCCAGCACTGATCTTGTCCTGTCACCGCAGGCGTCCGCCGGTCACCTGATACGGCTCCAGTCACGTGACCCAGTCTCGAGCCCCGAGGCGTAGAGAAGCGCGAGGTGAAGACACCCGATCCCGAGAAACAAGCTCTGCTCCTCTGGTTGCTACGAGCTGGGGGGGGGGAGGGAGGGAGAAGGGAGTGGGGATTAGGGGACAGAGTAGAGTTCTGCACGGCTGCAATTTTCCACAGCCTAGCCGCCCCGCAGCCGTGGCTCCACAGCCACAGCCGCCCACAGCCGTGGCAAACTGTGGGCAGCCAGCCGTCAGCCGGCCGTGATGAAATGCAACCAAATAGTATATAATAAGTTGTTTTTAGTTGAAACATATAGCCAAAAGCACATTGCAATGGGCTATAGATTCTCAAGCTCATGAAGCATCATAGGCTAAGTGGTTGTGTATCTGGCTTTAGGCCGAAGGCCTGAAGCCTGATGCGCATCGCATGCCTACACAAGCCCTTGCAAGGGGTTAAGAAAGATGGGTAGGTTAGGTAAGGTAGGTACCTACATCAACAGAAAACATAAACAACGAACCAGAATAGAAGCACTAGCAGTGTAGAATAGACATCTAATGCCAAATCCTGAAGCATGGTTGTGGGACAGAACAACAGACCCTGATGCTTTTCATTATCAATGTTAGGTATGGAAAATGAAACTGAAGTTGATGGACAAACAGTGATTGTCTAGTCAAAACTCTTGCTTCTTTCTTACCCTGCATATTTTCTGGGGTGTGATATGCCAGGCTTGAAGCAACCTTCTGAGCAAGTCTCCAACTAATTTGATATGCAAGGCATCAAAACACTAGTGAGCATCCAAGAAAGAAAAACATTCATCTATTTTGATTTTTCCAAATAATGATCTTCGCTCAAATCCCCAAGGACGTGCGATTGCTCTTTCAATCAAAAATTTTACTTGAGTCAAATGACGTAAAAAGCAAAGAAGTGGCAATAAATTGTTTTGTGTCACCATAAACAGCCATAGAAATCATAATTAATCAATAATAATGCTATACAATTAAAAATTTGCTCTCAAACAAATATCAATTATCAAATTTTTACATTTTTAGAGGAAGACGTCATTATATTAGTAAAATCAACAGCTCGCGTAAGAAATATTGTGTTCAGGGTTTTCACCGTCATGTGAATTACGTGTTCAGGGTTTCCACCATCATGTGAATTAACCGTAAATAAGGTTCATACTCACTTATAATCTAATTCCATTGGCTTCGTTGATCAGCATTTTCTGTTAGCGGTCACTCACACGCCAGTTAGAACATAAAGCGCCAGTTTTATATTATGTAATTGGACTTGCCGAAAATCCAGAAGTACATCTAAGAGTTATTTTAGATAATATTTTATGAAGCCTTTACCTGCCTTTACCTAGGCGTGATTTCTTTTTCTATTACCTGAAAGAATTATTGAACGCTCATCTTCAATAGCTGTAAGGTGCTCTCCTAATGACCAGGTAAGATTGAGATTGATTTGAGGGGGATGTGACAGCAACATGTTGCATTTTCTGAAACTGTCAAGCTATTGATGATGAAGGAACAATTGGTGCCTATAATTAGTATTCTGTACCAGAGTGCAAACTCTTCTACAGCAAATGGTAAAACCATTACAGGTTTTCAAAGGCTTCACCACTTTCAATATTGCTGGGCATCCTTTGCATGATTTTTACAGGCTAGGCTGCTTATCAGAATGTAAGATTAAGGATTTAAAATTTTATATTTGAGTACTTAAGATTGAGCTTGAAATCTCACAGCCGTGGCCACAGCCGTAGCCGTGTTCTTGGAGATATTTGCAGCCGCCCCGGCCCACAGCCGTGGGGCTGCAGCCAGCCGCGGCTGCAGCCGGCCGGTGCAGACCTCTAGGACAGAGGGTCGGGTCTGGTTTGGTGGCAGTGACTGGCATAGAATATCGCTCACCCATAACAGACAACGAGACGCGACGGAGAGTCGCGGAAGAGCAATTGCGGGCTGAGGTACGCTGATACTTGAATTGAGAAAGACAACATCCATGCAATCCTACTCTGCCTTTCAGCTCGATGAGCAATCTCAATCTGTCTTCTAGGCCGTTCCACCGACAGGTGCCGCCTTTTCTTGTCTCCGATACTATTAGAGCAATTTTATGCAGCTACGGGCTACTGTTATGCATGACAGATACATTATGAGGAACACACATTACATATACGAGTACAGGCACACACAAAAAAAAGGCGGCGGCAGTGCATTCGCTTCCGTTTGTATGCAGTATACACCCACCTGTATGTATATGTGAAAATATAGAATTTTTTAGAAAAACTATAATTAAGACGGATGAACGGACGCAAAGGAGCATCTGAAATGTATTGACTATACATGACCCATGAATGTCATACTGGATCAGCGCTGAATGTACAGGCAGCCGCTTCATCTGAACTGGCTTAAACTAAAAGCAGCTTCATCGCCGTGACTTTCTCACTGGAGACCAAATCAGTTGCATCTTTTCCTTGAATTGACGTGAGAGGTTCAAGATTTACCATTGAAACTGAAATTTGGTACCTATCGTTTCCGTTTCAATATGAAAAATATGATTAATTTGTTACAAATCCATTTTCAATCACGAACAAAATAAGTGGGATATGTATTTGACAGTGATAGGTATTTTGCGGTGAAGTTTGTAAAACGTGATAAAATGTCACAAAGCTTTGCGAGTTCGACAACATATAGCGCAATCAATTTTAAGTGTGGACTAGGACCAAGCATGTCTTGTCTCGTCCCAGATCAGCCTTTCTGCAGACTCCGGGCCTTGATTGAAACGAGTTTAATTTCCCTGATGTTTCTGACAAAGAATTTCATTACAACGATGTCGTCGATATCCCGCTGTCGTTCATCAAAAATGCCCATCAAAACCATCAAAATGTCTCACTGTTGCAGGGGGAAGAGGATCAGCAAGGTGAAAACTCTACACAAGGCTATCGAGTACATTGACCAGCTGCGCAGGCTGCTGGCAGCAGATGACCTCAGCCGAGGTCACGTGACCGGGTCAGCACCGCTCGAGTCTGGAGGGGACAAGGAGAACGCATGGTGTGCGCCACTTCAGGTAACTACCGGGGGTGGTAGGTAATGGCCCTTTCACACGTAGCAACTTTTCCGGTCGCCGGCGACGGCAACTGTCGCCGGCGATCGCCAGCGACCGGGGTCAGTCGCCGGCGATCGCCAGCGACCGGGGTCAGTCGCCGGCAACTCCGCAGTTGTCGATATCAGCTGACCAGTCGCCGGGGTGTGACGTAGCAGTCGTGTCAGCCAATCATTGAAGAGTTGTCGGCGTTGCCGAGAAAGTTCAATTTTTCCAACATTTTGAAGTCGCCGGCGACTGTACTAGCCAGCCGCCGCTCAGCTGTCACGTGACCCGCTTGACCTTGAGTTGGCACCAGATATTGCGCTGCTGATACATGCAGCGGCGCAGCTTATTTTACTGCATTATTCAAGGTACTAAATATTTGGACATGTTTTGCAGGATGATAACTACCGTCTAGGTAATATTGGAATAATATTTATTAGATCTACGAGTATTATTGAAACAATACATAATATCAATGAAAATACAATCAAACTGCGATTCTTCTACATTGGAATTCAATGCACTCAAGCATAAAACTGAAAAGTGATGTGTACTTGCAGTTCCTCCATTTTTCCTAACGCATCAGCCAAGACTACGAGTGCTGCAGATTTTGCTCACCTGTCTTGTTTATTCAACTACAACCCTGTTCTCAATAAATGAATAACTTCGCTGTAACGACATTAGCATTGAAGGAATGGTTGGTGGTAAGCATGGGACAATCACAGTGATTTGTGGTCACACATTTGAACCGTGCTTTGTATATGAAAAACAGAAAAAAAGGCATTCTAGAAATGTAGCAGAAATTCAAATGCCAGAAACGGACCTGAGGAACGGCGAAGCCCACCACCCACATAAAACACAGGCTTTCATTATGTCAAAAACAGATGCTGTATTATCTAAAGCGCTGGATTGGGGAACACAAGTGTACCCCCCCCCCCCTTATAACAAAATGCATTTTTCCACACAGTGGATATCACTAAACATGGCGAGGTGACAGTATATGACACCATACATAAAAATGCAGCACGCGCGGACACGGGGCAAAGACGGTGGCACAATATGCCGATACCCAAGAAGACACAAGCCTAGGTCAAAGGTGACAATACTGTGACAGAAATCTTAAAATCAGCCTGGACACAGCTCACTCTTCATGACCGTTTTTATCGAAAATAGACCAACAAAACACCAAGGCTCCTTCGTCCAAAACTCGACATGCCGCTCCAAAGGCCTTGCAAAACAGCGCACACCAACAACGCATAATAGCCAGCAACGCACACGACAGGATTTTCGAGGCCCGAGTCGTCAGCCGCCGCCGCCGCCGCCACCTCCCGGCAGCTGATTGCTGAGTGCCTTGCTCCGGCTTGCCGCACCGCCCACCGCCGCCGATCGTGGCGACCTCTTTACTCTGGCAGAATCGACCCTACCGAGCGGCGACACCATTCAGAAGCAAAATGACAAATGAATTCACTGCACTTATGTCAGAAAATCGAATGCACATGCCATGGTCACATGCGGTGCCGTCCACGGGGCCGGCAGAAGCTGCACACTGTCACCGAACACCACCTGCACCTTGGACGCAGTATGTGAGGGCTTGGCGGACGCGCGCCGCCTCGCGTGCGGTATTGGCATCAAGGCCCGGACACGAGGGAGCACACTCGGCGCAATCAGAGCACACCGTCCGGGGCCGTCAGTGTCGATCTCCTGACCTCACAGAAAGTTGTGCAGCACACAGGTGAACGCCGTCAGTGTGGTGACTGGTGCGCAGCACACCGTCCCACGGAAGATCGTCTGTGGGCCGTGGTGCAGATGCTGTCTCTAGGCAGAGTCAACAGTGCAGTGGCAGAAGTTGAACATTCAGCTGCTAGACTCCTTTTCGGGTCAGCAATGCCGTCGAGTTGGCCATCAGGTGGTGTTGCAGAATCATCAGGTACTCTTGATCAGGTACATCAGGTACAGAACCTCTTGACTCATCAGGTAACGCTGTGACTTGTCTGCCAGGCACAGAGGGCGGACATGTCAGAACATACTTCAAATACATTTTTAAAAATCATTTTTTAACCAAAAGCTCTGCAAATTAGGAAGCCTGGAATAGGCTATTGCTTAGCATCATAAAAACTACCCAAATACCCAAATCAGGTTAGGCTTGGTTTACCCAAATACCCAAATCAGGTTAGGTTTGGTTTTTACACTTCAGGCTAAAATGAGAACTATCTTAGCATCATTATCCTTGATGTAGCATTGTTGATGCTTTTTGTCTTGTACAATTGGCAATCAGTATTCAGTGACACAGAATTGGAATTTGTGGTTCAGAAACCTAGCATTATTTGAAATAATAGCATTTTAGCAGTGCTCATTCTTTTTGAAAGCAAGTGTATTTTTTAATATAATTTTCTAGGTAATTCATTTCCTACTGAATATGGTTATGAGACCATTGTTACTAATTTTGGTATTATTAAGGCAGCTGTAGCATGAGTGGGCATATGCTGTAGAGACTGGAGTGATTAAAGTCACTAGAGGCTTGAGGGTTTTTTTTAGACATTATGCAGCAGCCTGGGGAGATATGCAGAGGCAAGTCTAGGCACCACCAGAAGGGGGACAAGCAGTCAGCACAACACACAGCGGGCACAAGGGGAGAAGATTGTAAAAACTATTGCCTGGATCCACCTCTGTGGACATCCTCAGGCATGCCTCTGTGGACATCTCCAGGCTGCTGCATGTAAAAAAGTATCAAGCCTCTAGTGACTTTTTCCACACTGCAGCAAATGCCCGCTTATTCTTGGTCTGCTCTACCTTCCTCCAATTATGAGTTTTGTGTGAAAACGACATTTTTACATTGGTGGAGCTTGTGTGCGCATGGTACACATAAGCCATGACGGCAGCATTGCTGCAATGAATAGGAAACAGCTCCAGGCCCAAAATACATACCACCTAATACCTTGCCAAAATACATGACATACCTACCACCTACTGTTGCATAATGCAATTATTTATGTACTAATAAGCCATGGATTATCATTTGCCATGTGAGCACGCACACACATGTGAACCCAATGCGGATTAAGTTTGGCCTGGGTTGTTTATCCATGGTACCAAGGAAAACCCCAGCAGAAACAATAACAAAATTGCAAAGCTACCTGTTTGATTTTGATCATGCTAATTAATGAGCAGCAATATAATATTTTGTTGCTATCAAATATTTCCTTGTGGCGCACGAATACGTAGGCAAATAGCTGACTGATGGGTAGGCACTTTGTCCTCAAGCCGGGCACTGATACTGAATGTAAACCATGTTCTTGTGACACAACAAGCAAGTTTTCATTACCTTATGAAACTAGTGTCAATTTCAATGTCATTAAAATATTCAATTTTGATGAAAAAAATACATATTTATCACAAATAAAAATCATGGGTGATCATGGGCAAGTGCGCCACAAATGACATAAACCCTCCAATATTGTCGAATCAAGCTTAAATTCAAGTCACAACAGCTTCACGACAGGCAAACTACAAGATAATAATCCCTATGCTACTGTGCAACAAATTTAAGGTAGCCACACCAACCAAAAATGCATCACAAATCACCTAAACCACTCACCAAGGACAAAACTGTCATGGCGGCGTCCGCTGCTCGAGAAGAGTCGCCGGCGACTGGCCTGTGACGCGGATCTGACGTCACCAGTTGCTGGCGATTGCCCGGCCGTGGCCCGGCGATCGCCACCGACTTGCTTACGTCATACCTACGTCACACACGATCGTTGGCTGGCGGTCGCTGGCGGTCGCCGGCGACTGCTGCTGTCGCCGGCGACTGAAAAGTTGCTACGTGTGAAAGGGCCATAAGGGTGATGGGACGAATACTGCGGTGTCAATTCACTGCGCTGTGATGCGGTTTCTTACTTAAAGTGTTATTTTGGTGTCTGTTTTTCTTTTTGTAAGGTATACATGCATTGCGATTGGAGATTCGGATTGGTCAAAATTATGCGTTAAAATATTTACTTGATCAATTCGTTAAACGTTAGGCAAACGTTCAGTGTTTGTGCGGCACCGACATGTATTTGTATAAGTAATGCCATTTATATCATGTATGTTGGCCCTTGTAGGCAAATGTCTATTTAGCTCCGTGTTTGCGACGCCGAGGTGCGTAACAAAATACTATACATTATTACATTGTACCTACCGCACGTGTATGTACTTACGTACTTACCTATTATATACGGTACGGTACAGGCTATGCGGCACAGCATGCGTGCAGACTGCAGGCGTATACCACTAACGCCATCTCTTGGCAGCGGGTACAGCTAGTAGGCGACTGGCAAGCCATGCGGGACAGCATACATTCAGGCGCATACTACTAGCGACATCTCTCGGTAGCTGACATACTTACATTGCCTACCTGTCGCATGCGTACGATACGCGAGGAATAGAGTTTGAAGGAACCAACAGAAAAGAAATAATTCGTTCTTGAACACTTTATAGTTATGTGCGTGCTATATTTTCACCTTTTCGTGTCTCCTGTCGTTCGCAGGTGTACGCAGACCTGCCTCCACAGCAGCATGTCTACAACATGCAGTACACCATAATGACCGGGTTCACCCCCGACCAGTAGAGCTGCATCTACCAGCCTCCACAGCAGCACGTTTACAACATGCAGTACACCATAATGACCGGGTTCACCCCCGACCAGTAGAGCTGCATCTACCAGCCTCCACAGCAGCACGTCTACAACATGCAGTACACCATAATGACCGGGTTCACCCCGGACCAGTAGAGCTGCATCTACCAGCCTCCACAGCAGCACGTCTTCAACATGCAGTATACGATAACGACCGGGTTCACCCCGGACCAGTAGAGCTGCATCTACCAGCCTCAACAGCAGCTTGTCTTCAACATGCAGTATACGATAACGACCGGGTTCTCCCCGGACCAATAGAGCTGCTTGCGCAATACCCAAGCATTGGTTGGGTACTTCACCGGTACCCAGTTCTGTTCAGCTCGATGGCCATTACATCCCTGGCCCTGTTTCACCGCCGCTGCCAGCACACGTGTCACATTGGGTTTCCATGGAGACATCAAGGCTATAGAACTCCGGAGGCATCAACAAATTCGCATCTCCAACATTACCACAAAGTATGATCAGCTTGGGAAATGCGCTGGCAGCGCGTTGGCAGCGTCGGTGAAACAGGGGCCCTGTCCCACCGAATCGCTTTAGCAGCCATATCACCGAGACCGCATAAGACAGAGTCGACTTATGACGTGCCAGATTAAGTGAAAGCAAGTGAAAGATCTTCTGGGTAGTCACACATTTTTGCGAATGGCCATTGGTCAATCTACAGGTGCGCTTCGCTGCACAGCTTCACCAATGTTGAGTGTTACTGAGCTATTTGAATCCGTCCATGTCAGCCGTCCCGCGAACCCGTTCAAACACGCGTCAGATTCATGAATTTGACAAACGCAGCCTAGCGGATTATACAGAATACGCGGTGTCCCTCATGCAAGCTATAGTGAGCTTTGTCTAGTCAGTGCAAACAAGTTGCTAAGGTGTCTATCGATAGATATGCTAGATAAATAGACTTGCTGTAGTGTGTGACGGTGCTGGTAAAAGGAAAAGATAGTTGGTGTAAGACTAAGATGATTGAGGTGCCATCTGCTGCTGCATAGTGTGACTTGGAATCATGTGTGGGGAGTTGTGAAACAAGTAGGCAGCCCTATGATGCAACTTTTCCGTCCAAAGATCATGCAACTGCAAAGCAAGCTGTAAAATATAGTTACTTGTTTTAAAAGCGAGTGTTTACATGAAAACGGGCTCTGTGTACTCGTGTTAGATACATTTTGGTTTACCGTCATATCAAAATAAAAAATGTGATAAGATTGAAATAAACCCTAACAGCGCTTTGTTTACCGAAGTCTGACCCGACGCTTATGTAGACATTTACATTGTAGACACTTCGGTTACCTCACTTCCGCATTGTTATCAGCAACTTCTGATCGTCATAGGCAGTTCGGACAGATCACCAGTAATGAGCAAAAAAAAAAAAAAAAAAACAAGGGTTGCAGTGTGACTAGTGCAAGCAATATATTAAGTAGACTGGCAGGACAAGTCGCCTCTCATGATCGTCACAATTCCCAAACACGAACGGATTATGGAGCTGCCGGCAGCCCCACGAACAACACAAAAATAACATCGTATAGACACATCTGGTCAACATAACGCACAGATTTCCTCGTTCGTCACACACAAACTCAAACAATTTCTGATCGATTCGAGTTCATCCGTACAATTTGGTCGCTGATTGTAGGGGATCAGCGAGCGACCGTACCTTCTATCTAGCTTAGTAACTGAGCGTTCTAGGGCAGCAAACAGCGCGTGTGAGCATAAACTAGGCAGTGGGCAGCCAACACCAAACACTAAGGCCGATATATTATTACAAGCGAGTGACAGATAAACGAATCAGGACGTGTGTCAAACAACTAACATTATCCCTGAAATGGACGTTTACGGAGGCTGGCCGGGCGGAAAGTCGAGGTTATGTCAATTCTTATCGCCACTTTAGAGCGTGCTGCCAATGGCATAGTGGCGCCAGGTCACAAAAAGAGGGACACCCCTTGAAGGACACTACAGACCTCATGGGACACTCCCTCCCATTTCCCCATGCGTCTACGCTCATCATCCTGTCACATCAGCGAGCACGAAAAACGGCAATGAGACACGAGTAGGACTGAAGTCAAGTCAAAGTTTGAGGGTTAGCACGAAGAGGGAGGAAACTCTCAGATACATCGCACACTCGCCAAGAAATACATGTAGCTGGCATTGCACGTTATTGCCGCCAACATACATCAGAGCTATGCTATTCGCTACCTAGCTATGAGCCAGCTGATCTGGGTCACAGGCGCTAAGCACAACGCCACAAAATGCTGTGCCAAAGTACTTGTAAGACATCTATGGCATCGCTCCAGTTTCCCGCTCAGGCGTCCTTCGAGCTACCTACGAGTCCAGTTCGTAACACGACAGCATGCAAATATATGGCACATAACTGTGCGAGACCCTACTGAGTTCTATACAATTCATTACGGAGCCATTTTAATTTTGCAGGAGCCATTCGAATTTGTCATGCATGCTCAAATTTGCTGCGTACATAATACCGTTAAATGGTGAAGGATAAAAAACTGCACGTAACTTTACCACTGATCGATGGAAACACTGAATCAGAATTCTTAGCATAAACCCATCTCTAATGCAAGTACAGTACAGCCAGTTGCCCTCTTCTTTCAACTTCTAAGTCGAAAGTTGCGATACCTGTCGCAATTCGATCAGAACATTTATCGACCAGCGACAATGTTGAACAATCATATTCCGTGGTACAAAATTCCATAAACACCTCAGTTTCCAAATTTCACTTTACCAAGATTGGTCGCTTCAAAACAGCTCATGTAAAAACACCACACGGCCAAAGCCAGACGGTTTGATTATCCTGAGAGCTAGCTGTTAAATGTTCTCGCGAAATTGAATCAGACATGTTGCGGGCCAGCCTGAGGCCAGCTCAGGAGCTGAGAAAGGACGGTGAGCGATCGAGGACGGTAGATATTAGGAGCAAACACCAATGCCAGCTGGCGGCTATTCAGGCGACCGACACTCAGGCACGGGTGAATCTGGTGAATAGAATCAGTGATTGAGACGGATCAGGCGCTGCCATGACATGATACTGTGAATATACTGAAATATTCTATGCTGAAATATACTAGAAATATACTGTGCTGCCCCCAGACATGATCGAATGTTCTCAGAGAGTCAACTGCCAAGATGACAGCGTTGGTCCTTATTTGACAGAAGCCGAGGAGTGACGGATGAAATGCTTAAGATTAGGAGCTGCATTACGTAATGGATAATCCCTTCCCTATTTCAATCCTTTACAACCCTTTCAAATCCTTCCCAATTCCCATGCATAGCAGTGCACCACTAAACCTGGTTATCTTCTAGCCATCTCTAGCAAATACGAGATTTGATCTACCTCACATTCATCAGTCTAAGACTGTTCCAACTCTATTCCTCAATTCTAACGATCAAATAGCACCTATCTGGGGCCCTTCTGTGCGTAGTGACCCATCGACGGCTTATCTACGTTTCTCTACTAGTCCTCGCGATACGTAACGTTTCCCTCTCCCATCCGCGGCAGCTCGAATCACTACGTCCGATACTAAAACAAGATAACAACTCAGTACCGACAGACCGAAGCTGCCGTACCGCGGTGCGCACCGCACATCTAGTTAATTCGTTGTGAGAGTTACAAAGGCCGATCGGCTCACCGACGGTGGTGACACCTAGCGGCAGCCGAGCGCGGGCCGCCGGCCAGCGATGTGGCCCCGCAGGTAGATGTCGTCGTAGAGATGGCCACTGAGAACGTCGTCCACAGCGGCGGCGTGGCGCACGTTGCGGATGAACTCGCGTTTGGACATTTTGTTTTTGACGTGCGGTGATGTGAGGTCGACGGAGAGCATGATGAGCGAGAAACACAGGATGTACACCGTGTCTGTGGGCAGAAAGGAGGGCGCAGAGTTTAGAGTGAAAAACGCAGAACGTACACATATTCGGCGGAGGATAAATGGAGCGGCGAAGGGTGGGAAGGACGGACGGGAGGGGAGGGAAGCTATGAAGGAAGAAGAGGCAGAAAAGGATCTGAAAAGAGATGCGATAGCGGGAGAGACTTTAAACAAATGCTAACTGCTCTCTTCATAGGAGTCTAGGACACAAACACCTTTTTCAATATCAAGCCTGACGCATATTCTGTAAAAGCACCGCTCTTCACACAATACAAGTCCCTTACTGACCTGTCGACAGTCCTAGCTGAGGATTTCCCTGGCAGAACTTCACGGAGAACTTGTCCAGCATGGTCTGCAGGTAGTTGCCGCGGTCCTCGGGTGGCTGTACCTTGCTGAACAGCTTCCTGAGCGCAGCCGGAAGGAACTGGTCGCGGTAGTTCTGCAGGTCCATCACCAAGGTCATTACGTCCCGCCTGTAGGAAGGAAGACAAAAGGAGGGTTAGACAGACGACTCTGCACAGACGGACGGGCAGACGATACTCCGGGCAGGTCGGATTGGCGGGTGCGGGGATGGAAGGGAGGGGTTAGCGGGGAGACAGTAGACTAAATTTGTCAGGCCGACCGACGTCAGACAGGCGGAAGGAATCAGCGAGTTATCTGGGACGTAAGCATCAAACGGTCACTGGTGAAAAATCCAGATTATTCTGTGTTATAATTTCTACGATCCTTCACGAACAAAAGAGCGACGCATGAATTTTCGCCCTTACCTAATACACGATTTAAATAAATTTTCGTAGAATTAAGACGGGAATAAGAAAAAATGTACCCGGGACAAACTATTGGCCCGTTCTATCCCCAATACGCATATCGGTCCCACGTGTCACGATTGCATTCCCCTGTTCGCTCCGGCGACTGACCGCTGGTCCAGGTATCGCCGCATCTGCTGCGGGTTCATCTGGCTGCTGCTGTGTAGAAACATGGCAATCTCGGCCGGGTCGTCATCGACCAGACCGCGGCTGATAAAATACTGCATTCCCTGCGGAAAGGTGTTGACAAAGCGATGTGAGAGACGTAGCAGGGACCGCTTACGCCGATCAGACGAACAGCGGATTGACTTTCCGGATTTGTCTAAGATCACTAGAACTGCATTCCCTGTGAATTTAGTCTAAACAAACACAAAATGCATCAGTTGGCATTTAACAAAATGCAACACGACACTCTGAATTGGATAGCGGAGCACGCTAAATCACGCTGTCTGTGTATTTTATGCTACAGCGATATTTTGAGCCCACCAGAGGTCGGTGGGCTCATTTTAGAGCCCACCGACCTCTGGAGCCGTATGGCAGCCTCGCGAGCGTTGGTATAAATGGTAGGTCCAGCTGCAACCTCGTCCAGCCGCAGATAGGTGCACGGGTAAGTAGAAGGAGAGCCTCTACCCACTAAGAACGGGTCGGTACAGCGGACCTCTACTCACTAGTGAGAACGGTCGGTACAGCGGACCCATCCTCTACTCTCTGAGAACGGTCAGTACAGCGGACCTCTACTCACTGATCATTGAGAATTACGGGTCGGTATAGTGGACCTCTACTCACTAAGAACGGGTCGGTACAGTGGACCTCTACTCACTGAGAACGGGTCGGTACAGCAGACCTCTACTCACTAGTGACAACGGTCGGTACAGCGGACCTCTACTAACTGAGAACGAGTCGGTAGTAATGGACCTCTAACTCACTGAGAACGGGTCGGCGTTGAATGTGAGCGTGCCCTCGTCCAGCTGGAGGTAGGTGTGGCGGTAGGAGCGGTCAGCGCCGCCGGCACGCAGTCGGCGATACACCGACGCGTACCGCCACTGGTCCTTACAGAGTCTGGGAGCAGACACGAGGTAGGTGAAGTTTTACCTACAGCATCTGGGCATGAAGCAGAGATGCATGCTTCACGTTTTTTTTTTCAAGAGAAGCCTACAACATTATTTTTTAGTAGATGTGTGTGAGAGAACAAATGAAAACAAAAAAATCACAAACTCCATCCATAGCACCAAGACGTGCCATTATCAGCACAACTTGCTTGAATACTCATATTTTTACTTGTTGTTAGCTGTCTCAATTACAAAAAATACACCCCTGATATGGTCACAAAAAATGTGCATTGTGCCCACTGTCAGAATGTCCCAGACTTCTATCACCTACCCTTGCCAGAGAATCTCATCCTCAGCCAGGTTCTGCCAGACACAGGCAGCCAGGCACAGATCAGTGGCATCCAGATGCTTGAGGACCTCCAGGCCGAGCTCGGCGGGCAGTTCGCTCAGGTCGGGGAACTTGGCTGGACCAGCAGCCACTTCACCAGACTGGCGGTCCTCTGTGGAGCGATCTGGCTGGTCGTCCTCCTCAGGTGCTGAAACAGGTAGGGTTTGAGAATTTGGTTGCTGAGGAGCAAGGAGGGGGGAAAGGAGTGTGAAGAACAGGGAAAATGGATAACTAGCTGACGAAGAGAATGACATGTGGAGCAGGTAGTCAGGACAGCAAGGACCCTGGGACCCATGGTAGGCATTTAGTTAGAGGGCTAAGGGTAAGCAGCCACCACAGGACAATGCTGAACATGGTTAATAGCATAAACTACTAACATTGATTGAGGGATATCAAACTGGTAATAATTAGAATTTGCCAACATGACTCGCCAAAGCAATAATGATCAACGCCATCAGCAACAAAGGGTATCTTTACAAAACTGAGACTACAGGGTGGGGCAGCATAATCGGGAATGCTTTTTGGGCTCTGGTCATGAGTAGGCATGGCATTATTTTGATAAATTATATCATGGCAATGAAACGCCCAAAAGTTGTGCATCATCTGACATGACTACATCCATGAGCATGCAACTTCCTGGAAAAGAGCAGCAAAATAATTCGACGGTGCTCCAAGTGCTTTGCGCGCGCCCATAGACACTAATGTTAAACGAGTAAAACAAGAACATTTTGTTTAAAACAATGCCATTCCACGTAAAGGTTGCTGGACAGGTCAACGTGTTATCACGGACGATAAGGATTGTGTGGGGATACTTAGGACAAAAAGTTAACGTAATCGTCGTAAAATAACTCTTAGCAGAGGACATACAAGATGACTCACTTGAATATAAGGAAGAAGCTCTTGAGCATATTAAAAAGAAACAATGTTCAAAACTTCAGCGACCAAAAATCTTATCACCGACTGGAATACGATAAAAAAGAATGGCATGCCATATAGGGGATTGTATCGAGAATATTGCAGCGGTCATGCAAAGTAAACATCCTGTTGAGGTGATGGACCTATGGGTGGTCTTCAAGGGAGGTGCACGTGGTGCACCCTACTTCATCGAGCCCGGATAAAACGAGCACCTCTGGTAAATACATCCACACTCTGGCAGACTCACGTGGAGTCGTCGGAAGAGAGGATCACTGACGGTCCAGATCACGTCTTACGAGGACTCTGTCCGTGCTGGTACTGCAGTGAGGACGACATGTTATTGTGTAGGGCACCTCCACCTGAGATGAACCAAAAACTTCTGGTCCTTCAACTCCGCCGATTTAAATCCGACCAAATTCTTTACATGGAGCGTTTTTTGGTAGAAGTTTAATGAACAACTTATCATCAGTAAAAACAGTCTTCAGTGCAAGGTACGAAGCTGATGGGCGATCATGGACAAGCAGGAGGTTGCACGTGCATGCGCATGCTTTTGGACCCGCCTTGAGAAGGTCATCGACGCCGAGGGCGGTCAAATAGGATGAGGGATAGGTAAAAGGTGACCGATTGATAGGATGTTGCTAAAATAGTGCTTGGAGCTATATTTTTAGATTCATGACCAAATAATCCCGTTTGATATTTATTCCCGATTATGCTGCCCCACCCTGTAGATTCAGGTAATTGCACTGACCTCTGCTGTGGTTCTGCACACTCTCAGCATGCATCCTCATCAGCACAGAAAGCTGACCACCCATGGTTGCCCGGGCTCCAGGCCACCTCTGGCACTGGCTGTGTCACTCTGAAAGAAGCACACCAATCAATTAGCCAATGGTCCAAAACTTGCCCAGCGCAAGAGCTCATCACTTCTAGCACATTTCGCGAGCTGACGACTTATGGGGCGTTCCACGACAAATCGACAAATAAAAAATTAAATTTGCACCCTCATATTTTATTCTTCGTTGAAAACTGGTGTAAGGGGTTGTGATGGGCGGGGAAGCCAGCTGTGGCAAGGATTTTTTTCTTCGAACAACGGTTTCCGAGATATAGCCTCGGGCAATTCCTGGATTTCGCGCTGCAGCCCTATGTTTGGCGGCCTATAACTCAGAAACTATTGGCTTTTTATGATAAAAACTTTATATGGTTCAACTCACAATCAACCAACAAACATTTTGGCTATCTCGGATTTTTAATTTTTGAAAATTTTGATCACGTGACCTTTTGTCCTATTTTTCGAAGAGTGACCTTGATATTTTCCCCACTGAAAGTTGCAATTTTGTCTGATGACGATTAAAGCCTTATCGATTGTCATTCATATGCGATAATAAAAAAAGTGGTTATCGCCCTGCGTTGACCTCAGGTCAGGTCATTTTTATGACCTGTCCATTATTACGAGCGGGAGCGACAGCGAGATCTCGAGAATAAAGCAAGATAGCGACAAGCGGTAAACAGTAAAGGGTACACACGGTTAAGGTCTATAATTTTTACTGAGGTCATTTTCAGGTCAGGTCAAAGATGACGTCACAGGAGCTAAAAGGAAGTCAAAATGCGGCACTATACATATATATGAAGTTTTTCTCAAATAACTTTCAAGGTATCCCAGCTAGGAACAAACTAATAGCACCATCGTGATCCTCTCGTCGATCCGCATCGAAACATATGTTTGTTGACCTCGAAAGGTCGAAAGGTCAAAAGTTGACCTTAGATCACGTGACCTAAAGTCAACCTTTGACCTTTCGACCTTTCGAGGTCAACAAACATATGTTTCGATGCGGATCGACGAGAGAATCACGATGGTGCTATTAGTTTGTTCCTAGCTGGGATACCTTGAAAGTTATTCGAGAAAAACTTCATATATATGTATAGTGCCGCTATTTTGACTTCCTTTTAGCTCCTGTGACGTCATCTTTGACCTGACCTGAAAATGACCTCAGTAAAAATTATAGACCTTATCCGTATGTACCCTTTATCGTTTACCGCTTGTCGCTATCTTGCTTTATTCTCGAGATCTCGCTGTCGCTCCCGCTCGTAATAATGGACAGGTCATAAAAATGACCTTACCAGAAGTCAACTCAGGGCGATAACCACTTTTTTTATTATTGCATATGAATGACAATTGATAAGGCTTTAATCGTCATCAGACAAAATTGCAACTTTCAGTGGGGAAAATATCAACGTCACTCTTCGAGAAATAGGACAAAAGGTCACGTGATCAAAATTTTCAAAAATTGAAAATCCGAGATAGCCAAAATGGTTGTTGGTTGATTGTGAGTTGAACCATATAAAATTTTTATCGTAAAAAGCCAATAGTTTCTGAGTTATAGGCCGCCAAACATAGGGCTGCAGCGCGAACTCCAAAAATTGCCCGAGGCTATATCTCGGAAACCGTTGTTCGAAGAAAAAAATCCTTGCCACAGCTGGCTTCCCCGCCCATCACAACCCATTAGACCAATTCTAAGCAAAAAATAAAATATGAGGGTGCAGGGCACTTGTCGATTTGTCGTGGAAGTTTGTCGTGTCGTGTTATGTCAAAAGTTGAGCTATACAGGTTTCGTCATTTTCCCAGAAAAAGACGAAAAGTGTATTTTTCTTTAATGTTTCCTTGTGGATTTCTTCAGTTCTTAGGGTCGGATCAGGATAGAGAGGCAAACAACGATAACTTGAACTGAAAACAAAGAAAAGAGCTCAGAGCTGGCAGACGTTATTTTACTAGAACTTCAACAGTGCACATGCCATATAAATGATAAAATATAAAAAGTGTACGGCGATCGAAGGCACAAAAACAATTAAGATCGAGATGAAATAACACCGCCAAACTTTCACCTAATCTTTGTTTTTATCAAAATCTGTGTCCACTGTGCTGTGTGTTTACTTTTTCGCTGGGTGAAGAGAAAAACTCTCACGTGTTCATCGTTCTGTATATACTGGTAAGTTGGCTGATCGGATGTTTTCAACCAATCAGTGCAAGATACGCGAGGGAAGCCCTCATGTCATTGGCTAAATTCTCGGTGACATATCCATGGATGTGCCTTAACAAACTTTTCATGTGGTGAGTGAAGCCAGCTGCTCGCATTGTTACATTTTATTTTAATAATTTTCATGCTGGATACAGTTTACGATACCATCTTTTTTGACAGAATATCAGTTGCAAAAATATTTTTCTTGATGAAAAATTTCATCAAAGTATTTCAACGCCTAAAGATGCATCATTTTATGAGAACATGAAGGAAGAGAAATTAGAGGTGCAAATTCACTGTTACTCTGGAAGGATATTCATCATAAAAACATCTTAGTTTTCATGACTATTGGTTTCAGATTAGCATTCCACTGCCTAACACATAAATCTTAGTTAATATTAACTTCAAAAGTCATTAATGGGCAGAGAAAATACCATATTTCATATTTTCCCTGCTGATTGACATTACGTTTTGGTTATTCTTGACGACCAATCACATTTGCTGATGGGTGGGGCTGTTTATGACTCAAAGTGACGCAGCCTAGACAATTGACTGTGCCAGGAATGTCTACGGCTGAATATGTTATGCGGTTATATGGCCTTGTGTTATGCATCGAGCGGCGGTTAGTTGCGAGTTACGTTATTGTATGGGTGCTGCCGATGCCTGTAATCAGAGATTATTTTTACGTGTTGTGTCCGTGAAAATCGTGGTGATTTTTCGTTCCTCAATGACAGCTTAGCGACTTACAGATCAACCCGTGCGCCTGAGCGTTTCACAGAGGCTTCAGCTCAAGTGAGAGAGCTGCTCTTGCACCGTGAAGTCAAGCATTGTGTCAGTGGTCAGTGCCTATTTCATATTTGGATACATTAATTAAACTGTGTTCATATGTGTCCAATGTGATATTGGCACACAAGTGACGACTGAATGAAGCATTTGTGAGCTAAATGTGAGACCCGCTGTAGTGATGTGACGTGTGATACCTACATCAAGATAATGTCGAGGCTGGCAGATTACTTTGTAGTGGTTGGATACAACCATGAAAAAGACAGTAAGTGCCTATTAATCATACAGTTGTGTTTTTCTAACTTTTACTAGGATAGATAGATGAGTAGATCTGGTAAGATATGGATGTTACCAACCTATTTCACAGCTTACTATGAATATAGGTACCTATGTTTTTAACTCTCAGCTTTGCCCATTTTATCAGGCAACACATTCACACACTCAGATGCTGCAGAGACATACCCAAATAAATGTTTCTCCAATTTTCTTTTTCTTATCATTATGAAAGTTGTTCAGTTTTCTTCTTGTTCTAACATAGCAGTAAATTTTTATCTTTTCATTTTGGGCCCTGTGGGGAATTTTGTCTAACCCCCCCCCTCCCTTCCCCAATATGCCAGTACATTGACAACAAAAACTTATCATAAGAATCAACAGGGAACATTTTTCCAACAGCTGCAGTGTGTGCATGGCAGTGTGAACTATGGGATGCTCTGGCTGGCAATGCTGACTAGTGACTGTGATTGCTGTGAAGTGCAAGAGACTATATGCTTTTGCATGGAAATCCCTTGATCATATCCCAAGAACCCTGGATTATGTTTCTAGATAAAGGGAAAACATAGGCATATCTTCTGGGGTAATGCTCCCTTTCAGGGATTTTTGGAGATGGTATATGCAGTGGTAAATATTATTATTAAGTGGAAGAGGCTTTTGCCATATCACCAAGCTTTAAAGCTTGAAAGTACTCTTGTGCATACTATGTGCAAGTACCCTAACCCACTCCCATTATATTTCTGTGAGAACCTTTAATCAGTGCTAGATGCTTTGTGGAGTATTTATTTTTTTCTGTGTTGAATCCTTCTTGTATTCTGAGTCTACACAAGACTCATATGGTTAATATTATGTTATTGCCTCTTTTCTTTATGATTGTATGTCTTTTCCATAATGCTCACCTTATCCTTGACTTGTACTGAGAGATGTGCTGCTGATTCAAATCTGTCTGTATGTCTCAAAGTTCTTGGTGCATCCTCTGGTGCTTGGTACATTTCTTTCTCACAGGGTTTTAGTGTTGACCTCACTAAAAGCTATGAAAGGAAATGATGTAAGTAGGTACTAGGGATTGAGCTCCTGGACAGACATACACAGTCAGCCACATTATCTGGCACATATTTCAGTTGGTCACCCTGGCATCGACAAAGCTGTCCTCTTCTGGCACTCATGTCATGCTCCTATCGGCTGGAGCGAGCACGGTAACGGTGTTGTGGCGAAGGACGCCGCTTTTTCACAACACGGCACCACGACTGGCGTCCTTCGGACGAGCGAGTATGCAGTTTGACGGTGATGGCAGATCACGAACACTGCCGGCTGTAGATCCTGGATGATGTGCTACTGCTGTTCTTTCGGATTGCCGGACCAGCTCGCAGTCTAGCTCTGATCACCGAAAGTCTGATGGTCTACCAAATGAGCTGCCTACGGTGTTTGTCTGATCACCTGAACGGTCGGATGCTATGCTTGTTTGTCATGGTCAGCCTCAGCAGGTGCTCATCTGATGCGCTTTCAAGTGGTCAGTCTATCCCATCCCGAGTCCATTTATCGACACATATCGCTCTGAGGAACAAGTGCCTACCTATTGTGTTCTGACTTGACCCGCGAACACCTGGTCGGTCACCTGGGTCAGGTCGACCCAACGTCAGGAGCAGTGACCCGACCTTTGCTTACCGATCAATGGCCGGTATCGTGAGTTCTCATGCTCTCACGAAAGAAGCCGGTTCCCATACGGCGCGTGGGCGGTACTGGCTCTGACAGTGACGTCACCTCGGGATGACATCACTGATCACTCCTGCCATGAGTGACGTCACCCCGTCTGACCGAGCTGAGGTCACCCGTGTGGGCTCTGTCCCGCCCATGCTGGACACGGCAGTGCTCCACGCCGTTCCAGAGTCTGGCACTCTTCCAGAAGGGCCCCGCCGTGTGTGCTGTTCTTGTATACAGTATACACCGCTCATTGCTTCCGCACTAACACGGGCACGAGCCGCCCAACTGGCCCGTGCCGCTGTCGTCGGCTCTTTGGGGCGTGTTTATCCGGCGATGTGCGCTCGCCGGGCTGCCGGAAGGTATTCTGAGAGACGCTCCAGCCGGCGGGTGTGGTGGAGCGAACGGTATGGAGAGCTAATGTAGTACGACGAGGAGCTACGTACCGCACGGCGAGGAAAGCGAAACATCGCAAAGAAAAGGGAAACATATGTCGAATGATGCGAGATCTGAGTGGAATGTATGCTGGAATTGTGCTGCGTGGATTCGTCTGGATCGATTTAGCAGCATCTACCGCATACAGCAGATATCTGTAACACATATTCTGCGCGTGGTCATGTGTATGCTACGGTGATCGCGATAATCGATGAGAAGCAGCATGGTGCCATCGGATACCTTGCGGATATTTTCGGATATTTTGTTCACGTAATCAGGTGGACAGAAACGTCATTTTATCGTCATACCGTTCTCCTTATTACGTGCAGACACGTTGCAACCCTATCTCGCTCATTGTTTTTATCCCTCGTCTATACTCTTCTTTTTCAACCGGCATTCGCTCTGACACTCTGACTCGCACAGATCACCCATAGTTCACGTGCCGAGCTAGCTACACATGCCGGCGGCTACCGCATACCACGGCCAATGGCCAGCCCACCACCCGGCCTTCGGTGGCCGCTATTACGTGAATCACAGCGGAAGGCGGTGTGTTCCGGTCGAGCGGCCCGCGTCTCGGCCGACCCGGAGCCTGTGGCTACTGTGTGGTACGGCTCTAATGGCCAACATGACCTCAGTGGTTGTAGCGTGTCCTGCAGTGGCAGCTGTTAGGTGTAACGGATGGTGCTACAGAGAATCTGCACCTGTTGGATCGTTAAGAATGCGGTGATTTTGACGGACGTAGACCGTTTCGCTGGGTTTGAAGATAAGAATTGGTTAGCTACTGGCTGTTTTGCCTTCCATGAATTGAAACCTGTAGGACGCTGTTGCTTTGACGCCAACCTCAAATCCAAATGAGCATCGGCGTTGTTTCTTTGTTCATTGCGAAATCATTCCGTGCACTTGCACCAAGTGCCAACGCACATACTACATCCGTCGCCCCGAGCTGCTCCAACCCTGTCTCAGCCCGCACCACTCGCCGCCGTCGCGCCGGAAGCGGCAGCCCGTTCGGGCGTTGCGGGGCGCCCTGCCCGTGAGAACCGGCGGCGGTCCGCGTACGCTCGGCTGACGCTGGCGGCTCCCGTTCCGCCGCCCGCGTCTCCCCTGAGTGGGCGGGCTCCCGGCCTTGGCGCCCGAGCCCTGATCGGCGGCCGGCTAGTACTCTTGCCCGCGCTCACATACGTGCACGTTACCCCGGCAACGGGCTATTGACCAATGAGAAGCGAGAAAAGTGTTACGTCACTGCGATTTTTCATATACCTGTGCCCCCCGGACGTGACGTAGTGTGCTCGCGCGCGTGCAGGGTCCTCTCTGCGATCGAAAAAGAGCGCTAGCAGCGCGCCACTCGACGCCGCAATTGTCAAAAGCGGCGTATTAGTATGCTTTATTATGAATGATGTGTGTAAAAGTGAGTTTTTATGTTGTTTATTTGGAGGAAATGGTTGGAATAAATTAAGGCATTTTTATTTCTGTTGGTTGGAGTTTTTATTCAAAAGATTTCGGTCTATACCATTGATATTTACTGAAAATACCTTCGCTTGAATAAATTGCAGATATTTGGCAACTGAAGTGTTAGGTAAGCCTAAATGATATGTAAAAAGGTAAGAGACACCCTGATTATCATTTGAGAAACGACAAAATATGAATTTTCCTTATAAAACTCGCTCAATATGCTACTCCGCGGTTTATGCCCCGAGGGTGTCCGAGGGTTCCCGTTAGTTTGTCGTTGGCGCTCGGCTCGCGCGCGAGCCGACGTCACCGCCTGTGACGTCGGCTCGCGAAATACGTCATACCCTGCACACAAAATAGCCGGCTGCCGAACAGCGCTCCGAGCGCTGTTCGGCAGCCGGCTATTTTGTGTGCAGGGTATGACGTATTTCGCGAGCCGACGTCACAGGCGGTGACGTCGGCTCGCGCGCGAGCCGAGCGCCAACGACAAACTAACGGGAACCCTCGGACACCCTCGGGGCATAAACCGCGGAGTAGCGTATTGAGCGAGTCTTATAAGGAAAATTCATATATTTTCGTTTCACAAATGATAATCAGGGTGTCTCTTACCTTTTTACATATCATTTAGGCTTACCTAACACTTAAGTTGCCAAATATATGAAATTTATTCAAGCGAAGGTATTTTCAGTAAATATCAATGGTATAGACCGAAATCTTTTGAATAAAAACTCCAACCAACAGAAATAAAAATAACTTAATTTATTCCAACCATTTCCTCCAAATAAACAACATAAAAACTCACTTTTACACACATCATTCATAATAAAGCATACTAACACGCCGCTTTTGACAATTGCGGCGTCGAGTGGCGCGCTGCTAGCGCTCTTTTTCGATCGCAGAGACCCTGCACGCGCGCGAGCACACTACGTCACGTCCGGGGGGCACAGGTACATGAAAAATCGCAGTGACGTAACACTTTTCTCGCTTCTCATTGGTCAATAGCCCGTTGCCGGGGTAACGTGCACGTATGTGAGCGCGGGCAAGAGTACTAGCCGGCCGCCGATCAGGGCTCCGGTCAGCGGACGGTGGTCGGCGGAGGGATGGGTCGGTCCCCACTGGTCGGAGGGAGAGGGCAGTTTCCGGTCGTGGTCGGAGATTGGTGTGGAGCTGGGGTTTGTTGATGCGGTGGGGTGATAGGCGAGTTTGAAAACGCTGCGGTCGCCGCTTGTTATGCTGGGTGTGTGAAAGGAAGGGAGTTACGATCTGGAGAGTAGGTGAGCGAACCGAGAGTAAAAATGAAACCGCGCGATGCGGATTGTGGCAGATGGATGTAACTGAACAACATGCCAAATACTCTATCGAATTTCGTCTGCTTCCCGCTCCTATTTCTCAACCCAATGCGCTGTAGATTGTTTGGGATAAAAATAACTTCCTACAATCTCTCAGTTCCGTATCTTTATCAATTCATTCTGGCTTGGAGCAAAGTCGTGTGATTAGGCACACCTCACCCAAGGCTTAGAGTAGGTATAGTGCTAGTTAAACAGTTAATAACCTATGTGACAAACGACAGTCTGTCTATCCCTAACGAAAAGTAATAGGATTCCGAGTTAGGATGTTCGATCCTTATCCCGTCCGTCTATCCGTCTGTCCGTCTTTCTGTGCTCCGTCCCTCTGTCCGTCCATCTTTCCATGTTCCATCCATCTGTCCATCCGCTTGTGCGCAGTCGACGTGTCCACTGTTCGCGCTCCTGTCACACTGTCCGTCAGCATTGTCTCTCATCTGCCACCCGGCTATACCTCCTCTGACCTTTCGTCGCCCGGCCCACTGACCCGTGCCCTTCCCTTTGTCGTGAATCTCTGAGCTCGCTCTGACGGTTGGCTCCGTCCTGTTACAGAACAAGGCGTCAGCTGCGGAAAAATCCTACAGCGATTCCCTGTCACCGACTGGGATGACACCGCCTTCATCGATGGCATCGAGCTGGTGAGTCGCGTCTGTTTGTCGTCAGGGCTGGGTGTCGTGTCCTGTACGCACGGGGACGGGGAACTGACTGTCTTGTCCGACTCGGAAATGAGGAACTGCCTTCTCCGACTCGGGTCCGAGTGGGGAGCAGTTACAGCGAAGGAAACTGTCTGGTTCTGTTGGTTGGACTTCACGAGCGGCGGCGGCAATGGCCGTGGGTGGGGCTACTCGCGGCATGAACTTTATGTAGACTGCAGGATCACGGGTGTTTTAGTCAACCTACATGGAGGCGCCCGTCACGGGGGAGTTCACTCTCTGTAGCTGAGTGTATCTCCCCGATCCCGTCACGGGATATTCCTGTGAGTGTCTCCCGTCACGGGATAGGTCAATATCCTCAGCAGAGTGTGTAGCCCCGTCCTGGGGCAGTTTCCCTCCCATGTCTGAGCGTAACCCTCCGTCACGGCACAGTAAGCCACCCGCGCCTGAGTCTGTCCCCCCGTCACGAAACAGTCAGCCATCCGCGCCTGACGCTGGCTGTCGTTACACTGTGATGAATGATGCCGACGGATGAGATAGTCGGATCGGCTATGTTTATGTTATGTGACTGGGGCCTGTCCGCCGCCCGCGCCGCAGACTGGAATGATATCATCATTCATTTCCTGTATCACTCATGGTAGAAATATGTCAGTGCTGTGAGCCATTTTGGATTCTTTTTCAAACATTGATTAAAATTCCATGTTTTGTTATTTCTATTTTTTTTTCATTGATTCCTTTGGATATTAAATCTGTATTTACTCGTTCCTTCAAAATTTCCAAAATTGCTTCGCTTTCTTTAGCTTTGCCATAGACCTCTGCATAGCGGTGTACGGTTCAGCGTTACGCACTCTTGCGGTGCTCGTGCCATCACACCCAGTGTCTGTGATAACTCATATACGAGCATTACCTTATGCCTACTGCCTAGCCTCCATACTGGGATAAGGTGCGGTAGAACTTCTGGAAGCGGTGTATGGGGGTTTTCAGTATAATGGTGCCGTACCTCATTATGAGAGGTGACTGTCAAAAGCAGTGTTAAGTTGAAACTATTCGATTTGCTCATGTGACAAGAGACAGTTTTATTTTTTACTGTTTGTTGGGTTCTAAGCAGGTTTTTGTGATTCGTTCGTTTTCAGTTGAATTCCTCTGGTTATTAGCCAACGGCTTTCCGTTTCGGAGATCGTTCAGTTGCGTTTGTTGTCGGTTGTCCACTTTCCTCTGGTGATAACCTTCCCAGGAATGGTTACAGGTGCCAGCTAAAGAAAAGTAACCTTGCCAGCTACCAGCTGCAGTCCGTGACCCATTCCCATGCATTTTGTATAGAATGGTGACACGGATGTTGCCGTTGACCTGCCGAATCGAAACGCTTTAGTCGCTCGTGTTGGTAATCAAATGATGAAGGACTCACCTCACCTGCAATATTGCAGCGATCGTTTTCGATTTCGAAACGTATTGTTGCTGACTCATGCAAGTCATCTTAGTAAGCTGTTGTCCCCGGTGAACTGGTAGTGGGCATACTGTTTTGTCCCAACTTCATTTCCGTTTAGGAGGCCGAAACGCTAGTGGTAATTAGTTTTTGCATGCCAGTGTTGTGGAGGGAATAGAGCTCTAGCGCTGTTCATGCTAGGTGACCGAGCACTGACCATTTAAAGGGTTGCCCCGTTTTGTTGACATCGTGTTCTATTGTCTGCTCGAAAGCTTGAGCACTGTCAACAGCTTTTTGTACCACGCCACGCATCGTAGTTCTTTCTAGCAGAGATACATTTTGTGTGTTGCCTTTTTAAAACACATGATTCCTTTTATTCGCCTCAATCACCATTATAAGGACTGCCAAATTACAGCAACGGTATACAAGTGTTTTGCCACGGACACTAATTATCCCAGTATGTGTTTATCACCCCGTCACCATTCGGCGTGTCCGGCCGCCGCGGTACCATGGCCGAGTCTCCTTGAGGAGTCTGTGAGTCAGACTCTGAGTCAGCTGCTCGCGGCATTAGGCGCGTTCCACTTGGCTCGCCACACTGATGACTCCGTGCGGCACCGCTCTGCGGGCCTGCCCGATTTTCCGCCGCGGGCCATCGCGCAGTGGGCAGCTGGCGACAGATAAATGTACGGCGAAATGAGTGGAAATGCCGGGAGAGCTGGATGGAAACTTGCTGGAATGTGGGGGTAGGGTGGGCTGTCAGGGGCGAAGGGCCGAGGAAGTGCGTCTGTCTCTTGGTCTGGGTCTGGTCTGGTCCGGACTGTGTCTGTCTGTTGCTGTAGATTACTGGTTTTGCTCTGTGAGATTCTGGAGTGATATTATCAACGGTGGTAATGTAGGTGAAAGGCCGTAATTTGTGTGGTATTTGCCGGAACGGATGGCATGTGGGCTTGATTTGCGGTATCTAGCGCTAACATTCGAGAACGCTACTGTTTGATTCGAGTGTCTACTGTCTACTGTCTAGCCCATCGAGCGCACCGGAATTGCTTACTTTTGTGATGCATTGTCCGTGAGCGATGATGGTTTAACACTACATAATCATAAGCCAATGTTCTGTTTTATACGCTGCATAGTGCATAGTGTACAGTGCACGCTCGATGGGGCATATGGCTTCATGTTCATTAGCGATTTTCATTATGAGGGTCAAATAGAATTGGCAAATGGGGCATTCTAAAACTCGTTCAACCAGAGCATTATTTTTCCAAATTAGACCCCCGGTTTTGCGCCATCTATGTTTGTATGCAAGGTTAGTTCCGCAACGTTGATTTATGAGAGGCACAATATTTGCCAACTATCAAGTTAATACTCATCTACGTAATAGCATAGACAAGCACACTGCAAGTGACATTCCATTACGAGTGGTGCTTGAACTACCACCTTCCTTGACAGCGCTGTTCGTTTCTGGGCTGAATCCGACCTCGGCGACGGGTCATTGACTGCCCCAGTCTGGTATCGCTCTCTTCTCGTTACTCTGCATTGCTGGCAGGGCTGCACGCACGCCGGACCGTAGACTGTGGTCGGCTGGAGTGTGGTCTGTGGTCGGCGCAATTGGCGTAATGCGCTCCCACGTCGCCGTTTTCACCTGTTCTGCGGGCGGCGGCGCGGACGGTGTTGACGCCACTAGCATCTGACTGTAATATGGAGCGGGAGATTTTCGTGCTCGATCAAGCTATTTCCTCTCTGTTAGATATCAGTATTTGATTAAGGTTCGAGTTGCGATAGATTACTCGAATATTTTCAGCCTTATATTTTTTAAGTTTTACGGCTCACCTACTGATATTTGTTTGCACATTATTCTACAAATGTTCTGTTGCGAGAATAATTCATCATTTTTTAGACCCTGTGCTCCGCTTCCTCGTACTTCACTTAGCATAACACATTTACAGTTGTCACATAAAATACCAGCAGCATCGTTTCGTGTACTGTACCGCTCCTATGCTCTCATCTACATTGTTAATCAGAGCGTTATCCACGTCTCGCGAATCCCATCTGCTCTTTTACTAACCACATTACCACCGTATCTGACCCGTCTCTCCCCCGTTCCATTTCAGTTCTGCCAGCCGCAGGGCTGGGCGCTCTCCACGGAGCGTCTGGAGCCGCGCTTCTTCGTCTCTGTTCTCACAGACGTGGATGCCGAGCGACACTACTGCGCTTGTCTCACCTTCAACGAGACGGTCACCATCCAGCCCAGCAAGCCAGTCGATGAGGTGGGTCCACCGCTCGCCGCCGCCCACACCCGGAAAATGACAGGGAGGAGCACAACGGTCCCGTCACGAAACTGTGGATTGTGGACAGGATAAGGCTACCTTCATTCATGGCGGAATCTTGGAAAGGCCGTGGGTTTTGTGGCTCGTGGTGGGCACTGGCAAATTGGTTTGGGAGATTTAGGGGGTTAAAATGCTTCGGTAGCCTAGCTAAGTGTGCCAAGGGGAGATACGAGATTCTAGTGGGCGGACCCGACTCATAACGGAATTATTTACTATTCCCGCCCCTCCCCCGCTCTAAGACAGTTACTTCGCCCAGTCCTCCTCCACTGTATTACCGCCTCGAGGAGGTTACCTCCTCACTCTGTATGACGGAGTTACATGTCTCTCGCCCCTGAAAGAGGTGTGGGCTCTGACTGACGTGGCTTCAGTAACGGCTCTAATCGCGCCGGCGCGGCGCTGCTGTTTGATTTGGGTGGCCGGCGCGTGGTGCGGCGCCGGTGTCGGTAGCTTTCAGCACCCTGCCCTCTGCGGTAATGACTGGCGGATGTTTATTATCTTTATCCGATCTAACGCGCTCATTACACACGCTGCGCCTGTAATAGCCGGTGGCGAGAGAGGGTTCTCGCTGTGGTCTGGATACGGTTAGATAGGCCAATCTAATTGGTAGGGCTGTGACGCGTGAGTCATCATCTTTGCTAGTCATCTTATTTACAGCGTGAACGTCGCCGCTCCAACCCACGCCGGTTCTGTCACTCCACTAATCAATTTCCTCCGTTTTCTTGCACTGTAACGGTCCAATTCTCGTGTGTCTGCACTGTTTCCCTCGCACGACGCTCTGGAGCTGATCCAGAGCCGGCATGTGTCCGCCCTCGCCTGACTCCAGCCCGGCCCAGCCCGGCCCGGCGCCCCTCCGCTCTGCCCCCGGGCCGATCACGCTGCCGCTAACCGGTTCACAGGCCGACCAGGGGCGGTGCGGCGACCGACAACCTCTGTTAGGCCCCCGTTGCCCGCGCCACTATCACCAAGCGTTCGCCTCAGTTGGCTGTCAGCGGCCGAAACCACTCGCGTCGGCTCGTTTGTAGGGTAGGACGGCCCCTAAAAAACGCACCGACGGAGTGATAACGACGAGGTATATAGGTCGGGATTAAGGATATGCAGGTTTGACGAATCTAGAAGTCGCATCTATTAAATAGGTGAGGGTGGGTGGGAAACTTCTCGCCCACTCTCTGCTCCACTCGCCGTCCGTCGCAGTCGACGACTGCCGTTCGCGCCTCTCAGCTCTGCTGCCAGCGGCGCGCCCGTTCCTACACTCCCCTTCGCACCACCCCTAGTCAGGGTCTGCCCCGCGTCTGTCGGCGGGGTGATTTATCTGTCTCCGACCCCCGTCTCCCTTTGCTCCGGTCACGTTCAGTGGCGCCCGGGCAGGGTCCTAACCTTCCATAGCCGCGTCGCCGCTATGAGTTGATTAGGCCCCCGTTGCCCGCGCCACTATCACCAAGCGTTCGCCTCAGTTGGCTGTCAGCGGCCGAAACCACTCGCGTCGGCTCGTTTGTAGGGTAGGACGGCCCCTAAAAAACGCCAAATACACCCAATGGAATGAAAAAGTCTTAGGCTAAGCGTCCGCTGCCCAAACCTTTCTCGATCTCTGCTGAGCAGTTAATGGTTTGACCACGAATCCGGGCACATGCCGCATGCGGAAAGGTTCCCAGTGTGTTCCGCTGGCGGTGCCCGGTCTGTTATTGCGGCATGGCTCTTGGTGGTGAGTTTGGGTCGAACCCTTAGTTAGTGTGAACCGGGGCGGCGAGGGACTCCCTCCACCCCAAGGTCGGCTCCCGTCCTGAGTCAGCTGTGACTGGACCCCATACTCCCCGCACAGTGCCGCCAGTGACTCACTGTCGACCGGCGTGGGGGCGCCGCGACCCACTAATGGAACGTGACCGTGTTCGGGGTGTTCGTTAGTCGTCTGCCTCTCGTGGCCGCCGGGGGACCAGCGGGGGAGCCGGGTCGTGCGGCGTCGGCTGGTATCAGGTTGCGGCGGGCGGCCCTTCCCGCCGCTGTCGCCTGGTTTGAGGACCGTGGCGGCCCCACTGTGGGCCTCTGTGGCTCCGCGGACAGTACCGGCAGGCGGGCCCGCGGCTGCCCCGGCGTTGACTGTCTCATCAGCCGGTCCGGTGTCGTGGCGGTGCCGGGGCTGTGCCAGCGGCCGGCGGCCGGCTCTGGCTCCGCCGATGGCTGTCTTTTCTGACTGGCGGTCGGCGCGGGCGGCCTTGGGGGGGGGGAGGGGGGAGGGGCGACTGTGGTTCCCGGCGGCCCTGCTGTGTCGTTCGCTGATATTCCAGTGTGTGTGAAGCCATGCCTGGACGCACTGCGGTCAGGGGGGGGGGGGTCCGATCCGATGGTTTTGTCCCCGTGTCGGTCTTGGACCCCCGTGTTCACGGCCTCGGGGTTGTGATGTTTAGCCCCGCACGCTTCCCGGCGCCTAAACCGACGTCATCGGTGCTGGCTAAAATGGAATGCCGCGAATCTGGGATCAGTGGCCTGGTTTCGCCTTTGATATCGTGCTGCAGATTATCTAGTCGTCGGCAGCGGTCCCGTAGACCTATGTTGCGCGCAACTTAGCCGCGGCGTCGGCGGCGGACCCGGTTTACGTGCTCATACGACCGCACATACATAAATAAGGTTTGTATGGCCATGTGGCCGTGAATGACTGGTAGAAAAGGTTGTGCCTGGATTCCGGTGCTGTGATGGCACCGCACGCAAAGCACAGTGCCTCACGGAAAGTAGGAACGGTGCATTGTTAGCGTACTTTAAACGCACCTACCCCTACCTAAGAATCACGTGCTGTTCATGAGGCCTGTGAGCACGGGCGCCGATGACTTTTCTGCCGCTCCGTTCTGGCCTGCGGGATGACGACTTTGCATTGCCAGCGCATGTGGGGACTCACATTTGGCAGCTGCTCGCACGGGTTACCGTGGGTGGGCAGGGTTCGCGAAAGTGTCGGCTGCCAGCTTGCCGCAGATTGCAGTGTCGCGACGCTTACTCGGAGTCTCGAGATTGGGGAGCCGGCAGGCAGCGGCGTAGTCGGTGTATTTGTGTCCGGGCATGATCTTGCATGCATTTTGTCTGTGCTTGCTCGATTCCTGCACTCAGAATACACTTTGAGAGCAGTTTGAATAAAGACTCAATTGAGCGCTGAGACCAGCCTCAAATGTGTCTGATTTTAAAACGGTTTCAGTAAGGCTTCCTAAGGGCTCATGTACCCGAATACTGGATTCAAGCGATACCGAAACTGGGGTTCGGACTGGAAACTGGTTTCATAGTGAGACTAATTTTTAAAAGCTTGACACCGAAAATAGGTACCGACTGAGCTCTGTTTCTGCGATCAATGGCGTTGCTCAGAAAATATTCTCAGAATGTGTGATCTGTTTTGAATCGGGGACATTAGCCCGAAACTGATCTCTGAGACCGAAAATGGAGAAACTGTTTTCTCAGTGTGTGCGGATTGTTCGTTCGGTCTCGTCTGCCACCGCTGAGCCCAGTGTTTCAGACATTGAACGAAAGAAGTTCATAGTCTGTCGATAGCTAGATGCCTGTCGAGTTGCGGAGCAGCCGATGCATGACGCAGACCGGGTGTGTATGTGTGTGTGTGTGGGGGGGGGGTGCGTGTGTGTGTGTGTGCGTGTGTGTTAAGCGCAAAGTGGCCGAGGCGTCGGCAGCGGACCAGGTGTGTAGTGTAGACAGAGTGGCCGAGGCGTCGGCAGCGGACCGGGTGTGTAGTGTAGACAGAGTAGCCGAGACGTCGGCAGCGGACCAGGTGTGTAGTGTAGACAGAGTAGCCGAGGCGTCGGCAGCGGACCAGGTGTGTAGTGTAGACAGAGTGGCCGAGGCGTCGGCAGCGGACCAGGTGTGTAGTGTAGACAGAGTAGCCGAGGCGTCGGCAACGGACCAGGTGTGTAGTGTAAACAGAGTAGTCGAGGCGTCGGCGCCGGACCGGATGTATGCGTATGTCGATTTGCAGAAATACGGAGGCGGCCACTTAGAAAATACTTGAGACCTTTTTACGAAGAGACTCCTTGAGTGCTAAACCGAGCCTCCAAGGTGAATGGCTGAGATGTGTATCTGCGGCAGCGTATGTCCATCAAGTTGCGTTCGGAAGCGCTTCTCGAAATGCGTGGTCTGTTTTGACAAGGGGCATTATCCTAAAGCTGGTCTCTGAGACAAAAAAAAAGAGATGCTGTTTTCCAGTCCCGGCGAAGAAAAAAAAAAGAATGTCGAGTTGCGGAGCAGCCGAGGCGTCGGCGGCGGACCTGTTGTATATGTATCTACGTATGTATGTATGTATGTATGTATGTATGTATGTATGTATGTATGTATGTATGTATGTATGTATGTATGTATGTATGTATTCACGTCATAGGGCACATCCACGTAATTGAGGCTTTCCTGTACCCTGGAGTCGTTAATATAAAACGGACGATCAGTTGGGTCAGCATACACATACATACACATGCACACATCTAACCAACCCCCCACGTTGCCTCGTCAACAAGTGCTGCTTTATCTCGCTATTGAAGCGGCTCCCGGGCAGGTTTCGTGTCACGCTTGGCAAGATGTTATATGCGATGACAATAGCGTGTCTGAACTACGCCTGCCAGACTCCGATCGAATCGCCGGCGTGACTAAATGGTCTGCGTTCCGTGTTGTACGGTACGGCGGTGAACATCTCCACGAGTGACCAGGTCGCCGGCGATCGACTCAGGCTCTGATGTCACTAAAATGCGCTTTAGTAAGCTAAGTGCCTACCGTGTTGCAGAGGGCCGAGGTGACGGCGGCGCACCTGGCGCCTGTAAGTTGCAGAGTAGCCGAGGCGTCGGCGGCGGGCCTGATGCGTGTGCATGGGTTGCAGATTAGCCGAGGCGCCGGTGGCGGACCCGATGTGTGCAGGGGTTACAGTGCAGCCCAGGCGTCGGCGGCGGGCCCGATGTATGTGCATGAGTTGC